AATTCATAGGACCAGTGGCTAATGTAAAAATGTAAATTTTTAGAAGCACATCCTGCTGCAAGTGCCTACCATAATTATAGAGAAGAGAATTTTATAGCTGTTCAGAGTTTTGAGCCAGTTTTTGTCCTGCACATAATAATGAAGCAGAATGAAACAAAATGTTGCTGTTCCCTTTCCAAAACATTTCAACTTTCCTCCCTGTTCCCTTAAAAAAAAAAAAAAAAAAAAAAAAATACTCATTCTGCAGATTGCCCAGGTTCACCAAACACACAGTGCCAAACTGGAGCAGCAAGTAACAGTGGAAATGAATTTAAACACCATTTAGTTAACCTAGTAAAACTAGTGTTGATGGGTAAGAGAGAGTTTTCTCTTTACCAGAATTAAAGAAAGATTTTATTTAAAACTGTAAAGTTCTATACGTATTATAATTAAGTATAAAAATATACAAATAAATAAAAAATAAAATGAAGTTAATGAAGAAATACAATGATACCATATCTCCTTACTTTGCATAATAATGCATAACATCCATAAAAGCTGTTATTTAAATCAGCATTACCCTTTGACTTGCTAAGTCTACTTTCATATTGAAGTTATCTTAAAGTCCAAGCTAGTTGGATTTAGATCAATGAGATTTTTTAAACCATCCCGTTTCATTTAAAATTACTAATTTCTGAATTTTTGCCTACTCTGTAGCTCGATGCATCAAACAAAAATACTGTAATTGTGGATTTCTGATGTATATACCTTCAAATAAAACTTCACATAAAAATTGAAATTACAACTAGTAACTTTCTTAAAATAGTAACTGAATATGAATTATTAATTAAAATCTATCACTGATTCTGAAAAGCCTTAGTTTGCTTACATATTATTGGAAGGAATAATTGGCAGGATTCCAGAAATGATGGTTTTTGAACATTTATGTAAACAGTGATATATAGATAGATATTATAAATATAAATTTATATTACAGGTCAATGGCCTTGTTTCATAGGATCTTATTTTTCTGTTTGTTTACAATTTTCTGTTTGTTTTACAAGTAAGGACTCTGGGCCACAAAGTAACAGCCAATTTCTTTTCCCTAAACTCGTGTTAACGTTTTAAAATTCCTTATGTAATCTTGCCTTGAAGGTAATAAACGAAATGACTTCTCAAGAATAATTCTGGTTCTTGTAGTTTATGTCAGTGTTTATGTGAATGTTATCATGTTGGATGAAAAGAAAACATTCAGTTTTATCAGATTGCTTCTTGCTCTTCTAAGTGAATTTGCCCCATGGTATACTGACTTTGTTAACACAGCCAAGAATTAGGTCTCTTTAATTAAGGAAAGTAACTGAAAGGTGATTTGGTCAACTTTTCATATGATTTTCCAAATCTGAGAACATTTTAAGTCTGCTAAGAAAGTGTGACATCACGTCAGCTTTTATTCTGAGTGTTGAAACTTTCCAACTACGGAAAAATATCACTTTTCATTTTCGTGCATGCTTAAAACTGGCCCATTGGATATAGTTAAAGCAGGGACCTAACCCTACAAATTTAATTATTTTCCAGTAAAATTCAATTCCATTGAAGATATTTATTCAATATATTTATGATTCTGGTTTGGCAAACCTTTGGCTCATCTTTAAAAGTGCCCTAGATCTCTCTGCAAGAGTTGAGCCCTTCCAGAATAATTATGCTTTGTAGTTTTATTTTATGGAATTGAAATTATAAATGTAACTGTAGACATAATATCCCTAAGTAGAACCTCATCTCAAATTTCTTTTTATTGCAGCTGGTGAATCTGCAAATCAAAAATTTCCCATTTGGTAATAAATGGTATTACCTTTTGATGCAAATAGGCATTGAAAAGGATGGAAATTGTCTGTAAATATGATTTGTTTCTCATCAGTAATTATTTCAAATTAGAAATTAACTGAGTAATGTGATAATACAAGGGCTCTAGAAGCAGACAAGTGTAGGTTCATGTTTTGGCTCCACTGTTTACTAGCATTTGACCCAAAAGAGTATATTTAAACTTTATGAGCTTAGATCCTCAACTATAGATAACCAGGCCTGTCTTGTAAGGTGTCTAACACAGTGATTATTAAGAGTTAATACTAAGTTAAGAGCTTAATAAATGAGATATATAATTATAATAACTGTTAAAAGGTAATTCAGTTCTTTTATTCCAATGATTATTTTTCCTGATGATTCCCAAGTACATTTCCATGATATCAAGAGATACCATGAAATTGTTCAAAAACATTGTAAACACAGTTAAATTTATTTTATTTTTTAAAAAACGTTTATTGGAATATAGTTGCCTTACAATATTGTGTTAGTTTCTACTGTACAGCAAAGTGACTCAGCTGTACGTATACATATATCCCGTTTTTTTGACTTCCTTCTCATTTAGGTCATCACAGAGCATTGAGTAGAGTTCCCTGAGCTATACAGTAGGTTCTCATTAGTTATCTATTTTATACATAGTATCATTAGTGTATATATGATACTATATACAATAGTGTATATATGTCAATCCCAGTCTCCCCATTCATCCCATCTCCCCTTTCCCCCTTGGTATCCATATGTTTGTTCTCTGTGTCTGTGTCTCTGTTTCTGCTTTGTAAATAAGATCGTCTATACCAACTTTTTCAGGTTCCACATACATGCGTTAATATGCAATTTTTTTTTCTCTTTATGACTTACTTCACTTCATTTATTTCTTTTTAATCTATGTACTGGGCTGATTAATTACAAAATGAGAGACAAGAGTGCACAGAGATATAATTGTAACCGAAACATTAATATTTGTGTGTCTTATATAATCCAGTAGTCACTATGTTTTTCAATTATATAAATGATAGTATAATTTTAACCCTTTACTTTTATGGTTGAGGAGTAATTTTAAATTATATTCATTTTTTTCTTGGAGGGAATCCAAAGAAGCTGTAGGCCCTGTTCAGATGAATTACTAGATTGGACAGATTGGAGGGATTTACTTTTCATTTTTTACCTTCCTGAACTGCTTGCACTTCCTATATGTAAAACTTTAGAAAATGTCAACGAAGTAATATATGGAGTGGGATTAAGAACGATTTTTTGGTTTGCTTTCAACTTTTTTTTTTTTTCGGTATGCGGGCCTCTCACTGCTGTGGCTTCTCCCGTTGCAGAGCACAGGCTCCAGACGCACAGGCCCAGCGGCCATGGCTCACGGGCCCAGCCGTTCCGCGGCATGTGGGATCCTCCCGGACCGGGGCACGAACCCGCGTCCCCTGCATCGGCAGGCGGACTCTCAACCACTGTGCCACCAGGGAAGCCCTGCTTTCAACTTTATATTTCTGCATTAAACTGATGAAATTGAAAAGCTGCAAATTATTTGAAAGTCCTAGAAATAAAGTTCAAATAGTCTGATCTCCAATTCTCTTCTTTTCATACTATAAAAATAAAGTAACTCAAAAAAGAAATTAAGGGGAAATAAGTGACATTAATGAACAGAAACATAGTTTTAGTTTATTCCTCTCACATTCTTAAGGATCAAACCACTAAATACAATAGTAAAATAAAAGGCAATTTAAAAATACACAAATATATTATGCTGTGTCAGGGTCACTTGCGTCTTACCATATCACTCTGAGAACATCACTACTATATGAACAGCTGGATGTGCTTTATTGGGAAAATGATTTTTCTCTTTGTGTCAGTATTTCTGCACTAGTGCTTTGGCTCAATAATGAATATGTGAGACCTTTTGTTGGAAAATAAAATAAATAAAAATGAAAATAAAAATATATAAATATATAAATCAGATAGTCTCTTATATTTTATTGTCCTTTATTGTTTTTCAAACATATAGCAAAAGTCACCATCAGAGTCATTCATTGGTCGAGAGAAGAGGTCGAATTCCCAGTCATACATTGGACGACCCATCCAGCTTGACAAGATCTTGCTGTCCAAAGTTAAAGTGCCACACACTTTCGTCATCCACTCCTACACCCGGCCCACTGTGTGCCAGTACTGCAAGAAGCTTCTCAAGGGGCTCTTCAGGCAGGGCCTGCAGTGCAAAGGTAAGGACGATCTTGCCACCAAGTATTTGTCAACCACCGAAGTTTGAGCCTCACCTATTTGAAATGACTATTTTCCCCACACCTTCTCTTTCTGATGCATGCTTGGTTTTGATTTGTTTTCTTTTAAAATGATTGTGATTAGATTGCAGATTCAACTGTCATAAACGTTGTGCACCAAAAGTACCCAACAACTGCCTTGGCGAAATGACCATTAACGGAGGTAGGTAAAAGGTCAGCTGTCACATCTATGCTTCTTTTCCCTCTTAAGGCATGTGTCAGTTAGGACTTAGCGGGATTTTTTTACTTTTAATTTCTTCCATTCAGATACTCGTGACCCAAACCAAAGTAAATTACGGCCTCTGTCCTACTTTACTGTAAAAAAGCACCCATCATTGCGTTGTGATAAAGACCAGAGATTTTCTTGATTTTTACATGGTGAACCAGCTAGTACTGAAAACTTGGATATCCAGGATTTCTTCCCCAGCTCCCTTATTTTTCTACACCTATTCTAGTTCATTCAGAAGCGTAGAAATTGTTGGAATGCCTCCCAGTTATAGCTATCAGTCTCATCCTCCATCCTTTTCATTCCCAGCATTGAGACAGAAGTTAACTTTTCTTCCCTGTCTGTCAAGGAAGGGAAGAATCACAGAAATTGACCTACCAGGAAATAGTTGCAACTTTCTTCCTCCACCTGCTTACTCTTCTCATTATGTATGTGCTTGTTAACCCGCATCTTTAATAATAATAAAAGGAACTTTAATTTAGACAATTAAAAACTATATATCCTTTTCTATATTGGGGAATATTCCGTTGGGAAAACTTCAATTGTATAAATTAAGATTGAAGGAATTCTAAGAAAAACGCTATGTCCTAAAGGAACAGCTCTCATTTTCTTCCCTGGTAGAATTTCTGATGGATTCTGGCCAAAATATTTGACTTAGTGTCCCAGGATGACTTCTTCCATAGATGGTAGACTGTGTTATATTTTCAGTCTGTTATCAGTTTGCTGATTCCTCTGGGAAGAAAACTGGTGATAAAAGACGAGAAACAGGTTGAGTATTTCTGTTGCTAAAATCCTGAAGAACAAGTGATTATGTATGTTCTCCAACTTTCTTCTCTAGAAAAAGAAGAGAAAGCTCTCTAGGAAAACATTCCCATAGTAGTTTCTGGCTTCAAGATGCATGAATTAGCTGCCAAACTCAAAAGCTTGGCAATCTTCCCACTTTCTGTGGCATATGGTATTGATTTTGTTCAGGCCCAGGAAATGTCAATGTGTACTTGATAACTAGAACCAAAGGGAAACAGTGTAGTTCATGTTATGTTGATTAATTTGAAATTGCATTTTTCCATACAGTCAGAAAAATCTGGAAAAATGTGCATTTTCCAAGCTTGGCAGGCTAGGGTCTCTGATCAATCTGTTTTCTAACTTTAAAGTAAGTACTTTGCCTTAGTAAGTAATTATAATTTACTACATTACCATCAGCTATATAATGACAGGATTCAGTATTACGTCGAATATCAAATATCTTAGGCTTATGTGACCATATATCAGAATCCATGATTTTAAAAGTTACTGGAATATCAAGAATCAGTGACCTTGAGTGTTCTTGCATTTCAAAGTTTCCCACATCCTCCCATGTATTTCTTTTTCCCACCAGGGCTGTACTACTGAAATAAGATTCGTATCCTCTTCACTGGTGCCTGGTATCACTTTGCTTCCTAGCACTTTGTTTCTGTCTCACCCTTGGCTTCCTTCCAAGGCTTCCCATGACTTTTCATGCTTTTAGGCTTAGGGGCACAGAAAACGAGCATCTGCTCGTAAAATTATATATTCATCCTCTCGTTCATTCAGGTGACTATGAACTAAAATTTAAAAGGAAAGTGAAAGAAAAGAAAAATTCTTCACGTAACTATATTTTTAGGGCTTCCAGTTGATTTGCTTTAAGATTGCCTAACTTTCTCTTAAGTCCTGGCTCCAGGATTCCAGTCTTATCTTCATGGGCGCAAAACAATTTTTTAGATTTGCTTAGCCCTGGGGCAGAGTCTGATGTAGTCATGGAAGAAGGGAGCGATGACAATGACAGTGAAAGAAACAGTGGGCTCATGGATGACATGGAAGAGGCAATGGTCCAAGATGCTGAGATGGTCATGGCAGAGTGCCAGAACGACAGTGGGGAGATGCAGGATCCAGACCCAGACCACGAGGACTCCAACAGAACCATCAGGTGAGGGCTGCAACCCCAGCCTTGGTCAAACAGGGGAACCCCAAGTGGTATGTACTTTTTAAAGCTCTTTGATATTTTAATCGGTTATAGAAGAAACTTAAAGTGTGCATTCACAGGCATACCTCGTTTTATCGCTTTATTGCACTTCAAAGGTATTCCATTTTTTTTACAGATTGAAGGTTTGTGGCAACCTAGGGTAGTGCACGTCTATCAGTGCCATTTTTTCCACAGCGTGTGCTCACTTTGTGTCTCTGTGTCACATTTTGGTAATTCTTACAAGATTTCAAACTTTTTCCTTATTATTATATTAGGGTAATCAGTGTTTAGCAGTCTTTGAGGTTACTATTGTAATTGTTTTGGGACACCACAAACCATGCCAGTATAATACAGTATACTTAATCGATAAATGGTGTGTGTGTTCTGACCGCCCCACCAACCAGCCATTCTCCAGTCTCTCTCCACTTCCTCGGGCCTCTCTATTCCCTGAGATACAACAATATTGAAATTAGGCCAGTTAATAAACCCTACAATGGCCTCTCAGTGTTCAAGTGAAAGGAAGAGTCTCTCACTTTAAATAAAAAGCTGGCAATAACTAAGATTAGTGAGGAAAGCATGTCGAAAGCTGCGATGGGCCAAAAGCTAGGCCTCTTGAGCTAAACAGTCAGCCAAGTTGTCATGCAAAGTAAAAGTTCTTCATAGAATTAAAAGTACTACTTCAGCAAACACGTGAATAATAAGAAAGCAAAACAACATTATTGCTGAAGGAAAAAGTTTCAGTGGTCTTGATAGAAGGTCAGACCAGCCACAACATTCCCTTAAAGCAAAGCCTAATCCAGACCAAGATCCTAATTCTTTTCAAGTCTGTGAAAGCTGAGAAAGGTGAGGAAGCTGCAGGAGAAAAGTTTGAAGCTAGTAGAGATTGATTTACACGATGTTTAAGGAAATAAGCCATCTCCATAGCATAAAAGTACAAGGGGGGGGAAGCATTAAGTGCTGATATAGAAGCTTCAGCAAGTTACCAAAAGATCTAGCTAAGATAATAAATGAGGGTGGCTACACTAAACATCACATTTGCAATGTAGATGAAACAGCCTTATATTGGAAGACAGTGCCATCTAGGACTTTCACAGCTAGAGAGAAGCCGATGCCTGGCTTCAAAGCTTCAAAGGACAGGCTGACGCTGCAGCTGGTAACTTTTAAGTTGAAACCAATGCTCATTTACCATTCTGAAAATCTTAGGGCCCTTAAGAATTATGCCAAATCCACTCTACTTATGCTCTGTAGATGGAACATCTACAGAGATCATCTGTAGATGCTCTGTAGATGTAGGTGCTCTAGAGTGGTGAAAGGATTCACCATTCTAGATGCCATTAAGAACATTCATGATTAATGGGAAGAGGTCAAAATATCAACATTAACGGAAGTTTGGAATAAGTTGTTTCCAAACCTCACGGATGACTCTGAGTGGTTCAAGACTGCAGTGGAGAAAGTAACTGCTGATGTGGTGGAAATAGCATGAGAACTAAAATTAGAAGTGGAGTCTGAAGATGTGACTGCAATGTCATGATAAAACTTTAAGGGTTGAGCAGAGGAAGTGGTTTCCTGAGATGGAATCTACTCCTGGTGAAGATTCTGTGAAGTTTGTTGAAATGACAACAAAGGATTTAGGATATTACATACATTTAGTTGATAAAGCAGTAGCAGGGTTCAAGAGGATTGACTCCAATTTTGAAAGAAGTTCTGTGGGTAAAATGCTATAAAACAGCATTGCGTGCTACAGGGAAATCATTCATGAAAGGAAGAGTCAATCGATGCTGCAGACTTTATTGTTGTCCTATTTTAAGATATTGCCACAGTCATACCAGCCTTCAGCCAACACCATCCGCATCAGTCCACAGCTATCAACAACAAGGCAAGACTCTCCACCAGCAAAAAAATTATATCTCCCCTGAAGGCTGAGGTGATGGTTAGCATTTTTTAAAGCAATAAACTAATTTTTAATTAAGGTAGATACATTGGTTTTTTTAAGCATAATGCTATTACACACTTAGTAGACCACAGTATAGTATAAACATAACTTGTATATACACTGGGAAACCAAAAAATTCATGTGACTCGCTTTATTGCCATATTTGCTTTATCTCCGTGATCTGGAACCAAACCTGCAATATCTCCGAGGTATGTCTATAATTTGTTGATAAATGAGCTGTGTACTATGGAGGAGACTCCTAACTTTGGAATTAGGAGGTCAGGATTCCCTTGGAGAAATGTAGTTTGCATCCTTTCCTGGTATTGCCTCATTCGTTGACCCATTTTCTTTTGCGTGTGAGGGTTACACGTATGTGCAAATGACAAATTTACTACGAAGTTAATATTTATTCAAAGCTCATTGTGTAAGGGTAAGCCGGGACAAAGTGAGAGAGTGGCATGGACATATACATAGTACCAAATGTAAAATAGATAGCTAGTGGGAAGCAGCTGCATAGCACAGGGAGATCAGCTCGGTGCTTTGTGACCACCTAGAGGGGTGGGATAGGGAGGGTGGGAGGGAGAGAGATGCAAGAGGGAAGAGATACGGGAACATATGTATATGTATAACTGATTCACTTTGTTATAAAGCAGAAACTAACACACCATTGTAAAGCAATTATACTTCAATAAAGACGTTAAAAAAAAAAAGCTCATTGTGTGCACATACAGAGATCAGGGATCAACGTCAGCGGACACCATCTATTTTTATAGCTGGCCCCTATTACAAATATCACATACGTCTGGACCTTACTGTTCTTGATTTTATTTCAGAAGTGTGTAGAGTTTCATATTTGTCATCTAATTATCTGTACTTTTTGATGTGTAGATGATCCCCATTTTTTATATTAGTGGTCAGCACACTATGGCCGAATCAGGCTGCTGCCTGTTTTGTAATAAAGTTTTATTGGAACATAGCCAGGCCCGTTCATAGCTATGGCTATGTCTGCTTTTGCACCACAATGACAAAGTTAAGTATTCTGCAAAGCCAGAAATATGTATTACCAGGCTCTTTACAAAAATAGTTTCCAAACCTCTGATTTATGTTATAAAGTGTATTCAAACTCTTGTGTCCGTTTTACAAATGCCGTATTCTGACTGAAGTTGTTCATGAGAGGAGAGCAGTAAAATAATTGGATTTTGTTCCATTCAATAGCACGAGAAATATTTTTTAAATACTGGAAAATATTAGTCTTATGACCCCACTGTCTTTCAAAGGTGTACATTTCTTTAGTATCAAAAGATTGGTGTGGGCAGGTGGGCCTGTGGTTGGGGGCAGTGAAGGAGAGAGGAAGACACAGAGACAGAAAAGACAGAGAAAGAAAGACACGAAGGATGGGCATAATTCCATGAGCAATAGCTGTTTAAAAGACAGTTTCAACAGCAGATTCTAATTTTTGTGAAATTATCCAGAGAGAGACTGAAATTCACAGTAACTGATATTGTCTCTAAACGATTAATATTATGGCTGTAATATGTAGCAAGCAAATAAGGGTTCATGTGTGATTCTGAATACTGTGGCCTCAATACACTAAAACTGTAATCTACCCAATGTTCACCCCAAAACTGAGCACCATGCACTTCAACCTGAAAACCGAGGAGCTTATTATCCTCCCTCGGGATTGTTAAGATGTACGTATCAAGCGCCTATCACTCTTCAGAGTAATCCAGATTCTGAACTAGGGTACTCTGGCAGTACCGTTCACTAAAAATGGGATATGAAATTTTTTTTGGACTTCCACTTTGAAATAGCTGAAATAAGGTTTTATGCAGGAAAAGAAGATCTGTATCTAAAAACATTTCTTCCCTAAAATATTTTGACTTTTCAAGTCCATCAACAAGCAACAATATCCCACTCATGAGAGTAGTGCAGTCTGTCAAACACACGAAGAGGAAAAGCAGCACGGTGATGAAAGAAGGGTGGATGGTCCACTACACCAGCAAGGACACACTGGTAAGATCCACAGCAAGAAATTTTCTCTTGTCTTGCGAGCTTTAATTAGAGGAGCTGCTGATGCCCTGTCAAGACTGTGGGATGTCTGGGTTACCAGGAGCAAACCTCAGTGTAGGCAGGGCACCGGATTGGGGGAGCACGTTCACAGTCCCTGAGTGTCCCAAGTAGTTGAGCTAACAACTGAGTTAGAAAAAAAGTGTAGACAGCAATCTCAGGGAAACAAACTCATTTCCCTCCATTACTTGAGATGATTTCCAAACAACTTGAATGTCTTGCCTGTCATTTTACAGGCTTGCTTTCAGAGCACTCCTCTGTGATTCAGGTTTTTTTTTTTTTTTTTATACTTCTTAAATCCTTAGGTGTTCACTTAAAAGCTGACCTATTCAGAAATACCGGAATCCTATATTTTATTAGATAAAAGACAACACATTTTAATTTTTTCATATAGTCTGAGTAGTTCATTACTTCTCATTTTCCTAATAGTTGATGAGTGAGTTTGTGCATGTGTGTAAGAGAGAAAAAACTTTGATGTATGTTTCAGTTAAGCTAATTGACATTTAGTGCTAAGCTTCTTTCTCAGCTATTGGTAGTGTTTTCCTCATCACCCCCTAGCTATAGGATTCCTATCATTTTTTTAGATAAATGGACATCTATAACTTAATCGCTATAGCTATAATCTCAACCTTCTCTTCTGGAGGGAGATTTACATGACTTACTGTAGGACTCAACTGAATACTATCCAGTCCTTCCCTAGACATGGTAAAATATTTGAAGCATATTTAGTGTATTTGACTGGTCTAAGATAGGTTGTGGAAGAGACCAAGAATAGTATTAGGGCGTTTTGGCCTAAAAAGAAGAAACACATACACACATACAGACACACAAGGACCTGATTGATCACCAAATCATAGAAGTTGAGATCTGCAGTGAGCTTAAGAGAGAATCGAGTTATTGATGCACTCTCCTGGTGTTGTTAAGTTGATGCCATGGAGTCAACCTTGCCATCCTACAGAACATTCTTTAGTTCTGCTGTAACAGTCAGAGCTCTTCCATCTCTAATGGAAGCCAGAATACCTGGCTGGATCAGCATGGCATGCCTTATGTTCTAAAATAATAAGAATATATGAATATTATATCTCCTGTTAAGCCTTTTTATTTTATTACAGCTACAAATCCACTTTTAGCTCTTCAAACCATCAAATAAATTTTAAAATGGGAGTTTTCTATTTACTATACATTCAGTAAGTGCCAGGCACCGCTTGGGTGCTAATACATCATCTCCTTTATTATTCATAACTCTCGGATGTAGACACAGAAACTCACCACACATTTGCTGAGTAGTCACCTTCTAGAGTCTTGAAATTGAGTGTCAGTCTTCCTGGTCCAAAGCCCATGCACTTTCCACCATCGAATCTTATGTCCCCAGTGGGAAAATGTTTTGATTTTTATCTATCTTGGATATTTTTAAAGTTTTTAAAAGATACAAAATCCAACTTCTGTTTCAGCGGAAACGGCACTATTGGAGATTGGATAGCAAATGTATTACCCTCTTTCAAAATGACACAGGAAGCAGGTACTACAAGGTAAGGGTGGCTCTTCCCTTGACTGAAGCTTCACACCCCCTCTTTCTTTCTCATGGGAATGTAGAGTATCAGAAATACAAAATACATCCAACAGACATGACTCTTTTGGAGCTTGCTGCAAGGGATATTTTTTCTTCTCTGTAGTTTACACATGTGAGGGGGAATCAGGTTGTGACCCCATGTTAGTCATCTGTGAATTTCAAATATCCCTGTGGAATGCTTCTGGCCCCATGTGATGGTGGGGCAGGAGGAGGAGGGGGAGAGAAGAAGCTTAACTGACTATTTTAGCAGAGATGTGTGATTTAAGTAGAAAATTCAAGGTCACAGAACACTAGCGAAAAGTAAACTCCTGAAATCTGTTCTATCCAACTTTCTTTGTTTTGTTTTGCATCCGTAGCCTTGCAGTACGTCACTGGGGGTTAAGAAACATTATATGATTTCTCCATGTATTGTCAATATTCACAAGGAACACTTTCCTCTAGAAAAACATTTGTCAGCTATTTTCATTCTGTCTCTCTACATGAAATAATACAGGTGTCATATAACGTTATCACCCAGTAAAACACGGTTCCGAAAGAAATTCATGCTGAAGACAGTATATACTTGCTCCTTCAAGATTAATGCAGGCTCAGGCATAGTTGGTGTCATTCTCCACGGCCCCTTTACACAGATCTAACAGAAAAAAGGAGACCTCATTAACTTTTCAATTAAAAATTTGTTTTAAAAGTTATTATTTCTTAGTCACTCTGTACCTCCTGGAAGACAGTGTGGTGATTAATTTTTTTAGTATCTATATTGTCTTAAAAGCAACTACTTTTAGAGTCTGAGGGCAGCCGAAATGGCTGGCTTGTTTTAAGATGAGGCTTCTGCTACTTCTGGTGGCGGCGTCGGCGGTGGTCCAGAGCGATGCCTCGGCCAACCTGGGCGGCATGCCTGGCAAGAGATTAAAGATGCAGTACGCCACGGGGCCGCTGCTCAAGTTTGAGATTTGTGTTTCCTGAGGTTATAGGTGGGTGTTTTAGGAGTACACGCGGAGTGTTAGCTAGCGGTAGGCATCCTCATTGAAGGAGAGAATTACCTCCCTCAACCAATATATAGACATGTAGCATCTTTCCTGTCAGTCTTCAAGCTAGCCTATTAATTAGGCTTAATAATTGTTGGCAAGGATCCTTTTGCCTTGTTTGGCATGGAGGCTCCTAGCATCTGGCAGTGAGGCCAAGAAAATAAGGTCTCTGCATGCATGATGGTCTTCTTCTTGAGCAACATGATTGAGAACCAGTGTATGTTAACAGGTGCATTTGAGATAACTTTGAATGATGTACCTGTGTGGTCTAAGCTGGAACCTGGTCACCTTCCATCCATGCAGCAGCTTGTTCAAATTCTTGACAATGAAATGAAGCTCAATGTGCATATGGATTCAATCCCACACCATCGATCATAGCCCCACCTATCAGCACTGAATACTCTTTTACATTAAGGGATTTTTGCAAGAGCAGCATGAGTGACATTGTGAAGGCCTGTACTGAAGACAGCAAGCCGTTAGAACAGACCAGATGCTTTCTTGGCAGGCTCGTTGTACCTCTAGGAAAACCTCAACGCAAGGCAGTTTTTCAGTGCTGGCACATTTTGGGATTCTGCACATTCGTGGAGTGCAATAATACTGTATAGTTTTTTTTTTTTCTTCCCCGAGTCCGCTCGGTTAATAGTTTTTTAAAAAAAAATGCAGACATTACTACTTGTACTTCCTTTTCTCTCGGTCATATTTGAAAAAGTAGAAAACTGAGTTGCAATTTGATTTTTTTTCAAAGATGTCTGTTAAGTCTTGTGATTTTATGTGAATTTTCCTTTTTTATAGGTTAAAATTGATCTTTTCAGGACTAGAGCTGAAGTTCCCAAATACTTTATAAGAGTTTATCAGACATCTCTAATTCGGTCATGTCCAATTTATATAGTTTTCAAAATACTGCAGATTGTGAACAGCACATTATATAAGATTATGGAGGGAAATCCTATATCCAGAGTACTGTATAAATTATGTGTGTGTGCGCATGTGGGATTACCAGAGAGCTACAAAAAGACCAACCACTTTTTAAATCCTGTTAATGTAGTTCAAGTGTCCTGCCTTGACTGTCAATTTAATGAGTTGATTAGCTGGGCTTTTATACTTAACTCAATAAAAAACTAAGCAGATGTAAGTTCAAAACAAAACAAAACAAAACAAACAAAAAGCAACTACTTTTAAAACCACTCTCTGTGGTTTTTCTCATTAAAACTATTCATGTGGCTATATTATTATATTAACATCTATCAAATCAAATTGTATGATTCATTTTCAGTGCCTTGAAGAATAGTTGAAATTTAAAAACAGCTGTGCATACCCAAATGCATTTCAAAAGGGTCGTGATTTTACCTCACCGTTATAAAAATTATCATTTACATTCTAAGTCTTAGAATTTGATGCAGATTCAAAATTATTATTCTTATTCATACTTATTCTTACCACATGAACATAGTAAAAATGTCACTTGAATTTTTCTGTAGAAAGGAGATGATAAATTTTCCCCTACTAAAGGTATTTTTGTATTTTTCTTAGTAATATTCTGTGTCTTATGAAACCATTTGATGGCTGATTGTAATGCCATTTCTCACATGTCCCTGGCATGAATTTTATTTGAAAGTTTACATAGTTTTGATAAACTGTGTTTAACACACTCTTTGTTCCACAGGAAATTCCTTTATCAGAAATTTTATCTCTGGAACCAGCAAAACCATCAGCTTTAATCCCTAATGGGGCCAATCCTCACTGTTTTGAGATCACTACAGCAAATGTCGTGTATTATGTGGGAGAAAACGTGGTCAATCCCTCCAGCCCACCACCAAGTAGCAGTGTCCTCACCAGTGGCATTGGTGCAGATGTGGCCAGGATGTGGGAGATGGCGATCCAGCATGCCCTCATGCCCGTTATTCCCAAGGGTTCCTCTGTGGGTTCAGGAACCAACGTGCACAGTGAGTCTGCTAGTTTTCTGACTATCTTTAGAACAGGTGAAGAGAGACTCTTTGGGGATGATTTATTTTATTGGCGAACATAGGGTCTTCGAATAAAAGCTGCTGCTACACATACTAAGATATTCCATTCATTAAATGATCCTATTTTATTTTTCATTTTACATTAACATTTTGAACAAATGCATGTCAACCCAATATATTAGGCAATAGCAGAAACCTAGAGCTGTTGGTCATAAAAGAAGTAATCTGGTCAGCTTGAGCTTGACCTGGAATGCCAGTCATGCCATTTGCAAATGTGAGTTAACATATGTCCTCAAAACCACCTAATATGCTATTCCGGGCAGGATGCTTAGTGTCCAGAGTACCTGGAAACTCTTGATCATTTTATCCCAGGAAGAAACCTCTGTTCATTGTAGAATGAGATAAATTTTACCAAAATGCAAACAGGATCAAGTATTGAGGATGAATTTCTAAAAGATATTTTAGAGGAGTATCTATTTAAAATGCAACTTAAAATCTTCTAATGGCTATTAATAATGAAGCCTATGGCAAAAAGCCCTCTGTTTTCACATCACAGTGTGTTATCTAATGATCTATCACAACTTTTTCATTGATCTCTACAACCAATATACATATTAATAGAATATATATGCCTAGTTGGGTGCAAAGCATTTTATGTGAGGTCTCTATTTTAATGCCTAAAATAACCCCAATAGGTGGATGTTAATGATTAGCCTGGTTTACAGGTAAGGGAATCAGGCCCTAGAGACATTAAGTTGTCTCAGCTTGTACCAGAGTTACAAAATGGCACACCAGTATTTGAACCCAAGTCTTTACGACTCCTAACTGTAAACTGACAAAATATTATTATTTTTCAAAGCCAAGTACAGAGTAAATCTGTAACTGTAAAAGGAAAGAAACATTCTAATAGGCATTTTTCTAGAAAAGTCTAATTATTATGGTTTTAAAACAGCTCTGCAGCTTGATTAATAAGCATGTATTTACTTGTTTTGCTATTATCTCTCTTACTTATTTTGTGTATTTTTTAACATGTATTTCCAGGAGATATTTCTGTGAGTATTTCGGTATCAAATTGCCAGATTCAAGAAAATGTGGTGAGTGCGTACCTACTAATATAAAACTTGGTACTGTGATCCTTTATTTGAAAATAAGAGCATCATAAAATACATTTTTATTGATCTGAAATTTTAATTTTTTAGGGTTTTCTAGAAAATAAAACAGGGTCCTTTTGGATGTTTTTCTTCTATAAAATTTTAGAAACATTACATTGTATCAATTCTCTTAGTGATTTTCTATCATCTGTTCTGCAGTGTGGAAAGTTAAATACCTATTTTTCATCTCAGATAAACAATTTTAATGCAGTGCCTGATTTTTCACATGTTTGCGCATTTTGGTACTGGAATTTTAAATGGTTGATACTGTGTAATACCAGATAAAATGAAATAAATTATTTGAGTTGCATGAATAGCTTAAACATGTCCTTATTCTCATTCCTTGATTGCTACCCAGAAGTGCTGTCGTATGACAAGGAGCTGCATATACTCTTACAGTCACTTGTACTTAACAAGGAGACCTCAGAAAGCTGCATAAATCAGATTTTATGGATCCACATTCTAGCACCCTAGTCAGCTGTGCCACATAACTCCATTCTTTCAGCTCAGTTTTTGAAAATTGTAGATCATACATATTATGAAATAATTTACACTCTGTCATATGTTTGCTTCTTTTGGTTATACTTTGTCACTGTAGCAAGCAGCCCAAAAGTAATAAGGCCTTTCCTACCTCATCCTGTGACTCGATCTTTCCCTCTATTTTGACTGCTATGCCTGTCACCAAAAGGAAAAAGTTTGTAGCCTTACACTGATCTCAGTCTATTTTTTAAAGAATAAACTCCATGAAACTCGATTCATCACTAGCATAGCTTTTCAACCTTTGCTAAATTGGCATAAAATAAACTGAAAACCAAATATGATTGAGAGAATTAGGGAAACTTTGTAGTGAAAATTAGACATATTCTTGTTCTGTCAGTCATGAGATAGATTTCTAAATACCTGAAGGTTCCTGTTGTTCTTGCTTAGCCAGAGAAGACTTTGGGAAATACTGATCTACCTATAAGCCTCTTGGGAAATTCTAGATTCCTGTGGGGTTCTTCCACCCTGTTTGGCTGAAAATTCTGGTTGGCCATTGAGCTATCAGAGAAAGATGGAGTAGTAGTTTGGACTCAGAATACTGGAGTAGTATTAATTCATTTTCTTGTCTTCAGACAACCTTGAACTCTGAACCATGGATACTCTGAAGGGATCACAGGATAGAGAGAACTTGTAGTTGTTTTCTGTGGGGAAGGACAAAGGGAAAGGATAGCAATGTATGGAATATGCAGAGGGTAGGATGTGATGTAAAAGGACTTTTATTTTTGGTTTTTTAAAAATTTATTTATTTATTTTTGGCTGCGTTGGGTCTTCGTTGCTGCACGTGGGCTTTTCTCTAGTTGTGGCGAGCGGGGGCTGCTGTTCGTTGCAGTGCGCGGGCTTCTCATTGCAGTGGCTTCTCTTGTCACAGAGCACGGGCTCTAAGCACGCGGGCTTCAGTAGTTGTGACACACAGGCTCAGTAGTTGTGGCTCGCGGGCTCTAAAGTGCAGGCTCAGTAGTTGTGGCACACAGGCTTAGTTGCTCCGCGGCATGTGGGATCTTCCCAGACCAGGGCTCGAACCCATGTCCCCTGCATTGGCAGGCGGATCCTTAACCAGTGCACCACCAAGGAAGTCCAGGACTTTTATTTTTCAGAGGACAAAGAGTACAAAGGTGGAGGATAGGCAGAAAATTCCATAGGATGTCATAGGAATACTGAAAGTGAAAAAGTATTACATTGTGCTTTCATGAGTGTGGTCATCAAAATCACAGACTAAGCATAGTTATCTAAAACAGAATGCTTTACTTAGCAATTATTATTTCAAAGAGGAAAGAGTAGACATTTGGAGACTTGTTAACCTCCAGAAGTGGTAAAAGTAGAAGAGTGTGGTTACCTCACAGATGAGAATTTCATTGTGGATTGTCATCTTTTTGTGGTGTCTCTGGCTCACTCACAGTGATTCAGCCCCCTCTTCCTTCAGTTAAAATTCATGTGGATGTGGATGATTGATAAAGAGGCAGCCACAGCATTTTAGCCATAAAGAATGAAATGGTTGGAATCAGGACTCACACAGACATATGCTTGGGAACCATGATTATTTAATGTGAGATTTCTAAATAACCATTGCAATAAGCAAATCAATTTTTGAATACTGACATTATGTATGTAAATGACATATAGTCTTAAGTCTTTTTTCTCTCTAATGAAACCTATATAATTGAACATTGGAAAATTTCTGCTGCTTAAGATTAGAATAGTTGTCCAACATTACAGTATTACATTGAATTGAAGAGTGGGTTTTTAATATAGTTATATTGTAGATTTCATCTAGCATTTAAATTTTAATTGTTTATGTTTAAAATATTTATCAGTGTTAATGATATATTTAATAAAATTGTAGAGTTTATTAGGACTAATCTTTTGTTCCACCTCATGTTTGTTTTTCTGTGGACTTGCACCTATAGGACATCAGCACAGTTTATCAGATTTTTCCTGATGAGGTACTGGGTTCTGGGCAGTTTGGAATTGTTTATGGAGGTAGGTTAATTCACTAAGTATTTTTATTAATTTAAAGTTTTAGCATTTTTGTTTAGAAAAGTAATATCTCCAAGAAAAACGTAAAAGACCTACATGTAGATACATTTTTATGTATGTTTCTCTGTGTTTTACCTCTGTAGAAATTTCTCTTGAGGTAGTCACTAAATGGAAATTTGGTACCTTTCTGTTTTGAAAGAGAAATTTTTCTACTACTAAATATCAACAAACTTTTGCTTAAATATCGACAAACTCTATACACTATACTGGTTAAATATTGGTTTATTTAGACAAAATATTGAGAAGCAAGGCAGCTGTAATCATAAACATTCCTTTTCCTCTTAGCATATTTGATCAGAATGCTATAGAAGTCCATTCAAAAATTCTTTAATTCTAACATCTTTAATAATATCATGTATTTTGGTAAGGTTTGCATTTTTTACATTTTTGAAGTAAAATACTGAATTTTTACCTTTTTCTTATTGTCATGCTATTTGGTGAATTTAGTTAAAACTTCTGCTGTTTTTGATTCTAGCCAGTTCAATGACATTTTTCAAGTCTTTAAGAAAGATTTAATATCAATGTTTCACCTGTCCTATAAAATGACATCATAACTTTCATTTCCTTAATATAATCAGTAACAGATTATCTTTTTTTTGGTGAGGTTAGGGTGCTCTGAAATAATCACAATGTCTCATTCAATATTATTTATCATAGTATAATATTGTGCTTTTTATTTAAAAGCTAATTAAATTCTACTCTATTTTAAAAGTAATTTTGATTCTTACAAAATGCACAGATTTTTTTTTGATAGAAAATCTATCAAGTCAGCAACCATTGTGCTTTTTGTTAAGGCATAACAATATAATAGAGGAGACCAAGTACTACATAGAAAGTTCTTCTGCAGTGTAATAATTGCATGCAAAGAAATCGTGGTATATAAAGGATGGTAAATATACATAACTGCATATAGTGTGGAGGTGAAACAGGGGTAAGAAATGAGGTTAGAGAAACCAGCATGTGCCAGGTAATTTGTAACATACAACAGTGAAGGAGCAGGCATAGGAAGAGGCCTCTGTAAGCTGTGACAAAGTGAGAGAGTGGCATGGACATATATACACTACCAAATGTAAAACAGATAGCTAGTGGGAAACAGCCGCGTAGCACAGGGAGATCAACTCAGCGGTTTGTGACCACCTAGAGGGGTGGGATAGGGAGGGTGGGAGGGAAGGAGATGCAAGAGGGAAGAGATATGGGAACATATGTATATGTAAAACTGATTCACTTTGTTATACAGCAGAAACTAACACACCATTGTAGAGCAAGTATACTCCAATAAAGATGTTTAAAAAAAAAATGTTACGGCTTTACACATACGGGATGAGGCAGATAAGAAAAGTCACAGAAGAGAGGTCAGTTGCCATAGTGACAGAAGCATAGAGACAAAAGAAGCTGCAACCTTGAAGACAGTAGATGCAATAAAACTCTGCATTGGAATAGATATTGCAGCGAGTCAGAGAGTTAAAAAGTGATGTGAAGAAAGTAGAGAACGTGAAAGCAAGACAATAGTTTTGTCAGTTGGGAATGGAAGTATTCTGGAAGGAGTTGGAAGGAATAGTGAAAGTGGGATGTAGGGGAAAGGAACACTGGATTTACACCAAATGTAGAAATAATGGAATTTAAAGTTAGTTTGTATGTGACCAAAAAAATGAGTAGTTAGGTTCATTTTCAAATTCAATTAGCATTCCTATATTCTATACCTTCTATAATCTAGTAGTGTAGGAGTTAAAAGCTTGAGGGTACCCTGTGATTCCCTAGAAAACTTGCTGTGAGAATTAAATGGGATGTGATGTACGTCAAGGGACTGTCAGGTGATGACAATGATGATGATGATGATAATTCATATTTTTGAGTGTGTATAGTTATCTGGGCACTCTGTGTACTGTACATATCTTATTACATCTAATTCTCACAACAACCCTACCATTGAAGATGAGGAGCTCAGAAAGCTTAAGTGATTTGCTCAAGATCATGAAGCTAATAAGGGACAGAGCCAAGACTTTTATTCGTTCCATTATAACATACATTCGTTTTTTAGGACTTTAAAATTATACTTTTTTTTTTTTTTCTGGTACACGGGCCTCTCACTGTGGTGGCCTCTCCCGTTGCGGAGCACAGGCTCCGGACGCGCAGGCTCAGCGGCCATGGCTCACGGGCCTAGCCGCTCCACGGCATGTGAGATCTTCCTGGACCAGGGCACGAACCCGTGTCCCCTGCATCGGCAGGCGGACTCTCAACCACTGAGCCACCAGGGAAGCCCTAAAATTATACTTTCTTAAGGAGAGGACTTTTGCCCGTGGTATGAATATTTTCTTTATCAAGTAGCTCAATATCCTGTTTCTAAAAGAGATATTTTACAAGAAAATATCAGGCTGTTCATACAAATAGCTTTTAAGACTCTCAACTGAGCCACCAGGGAAGCCCTAAAATTATACTTTCTTAAGGAGAGGACTTTTGCCCGTGGTATGAATATTTTCTTTATCAAGTAGCTCAATATCCTGTTTCTAAAAGAGATATTTTACAAGAAAATATCAGGCTGTTCATACAAATAGCTTTTAATGTCCTAATTCTTTTGTGTTCTAAATTGTAGCTAATTTTATAGTGCATATTTGATGTAGAAAATGGAGCTAAGAAGTGAAATCTTTATGGATATAAGTCAGTGCTCATCAGAAATGTTAATTTATTCAGTAAAGCATTTTTATAATTCCAAACGGTTTTTATAAATTCTGGTATTCTTTAATAGAGATGATATATAATAAGATTATGCTAATATTTCTCTTTTTTATCTTAAAGGAAAACATCGTAAAACAGGAAGAGATGTAGCTATTAAGATCATTGACAAGTTAAGATTTCCAACAAAACAAGAAAGTCAACTTCGTAATGAGGTTGCAATTCTTCAGGTACTTTTTTGTTTTTTATGTAGGGGCTATAAAATGTCCCCTCAACTTCTGCAAAACAAAGAAAAGTTATCCAAGTATCTGTGGCATAGATATTTAGGAACATTTTTAAATAACTGAAAAGGCAGATCAAGCATCAAACTGCAGCCTGTGTAGTATCTTTCCTGAGTCTAGGCAGCGTTGTTTTTTTTTTTAATGTACTTAATTCTAGGTTTTAATGTATTATTAATTCTCATTAAATGGGTAATGTTTCAGCATTTGCTAATAGTGGGCACGCTGAGACCATTTTGTTTTACATTATCAATGAACTTGCCTTCATAAACATTCTTCCTTTATGCTGTGATAATTATTAGAATTGAGTACGTAGCTGTCAGCATATCAGGTAGAAGAGTAATACATGTCCGAGAAAACATGATCTTGATCTTATTAATGTCCTCTTTGTGTCTCACTGTAAGCCTTTTATTTAATATTGAGACTGTTCCTTAACTCTTCTCATTTTTAAAGCCAGTCCCTTTTTAAAGCTAGAATTTGTTAATAAAAGGTATTATGTGATATATATAATTTCTGTAACTATTAAAACTTTTTCTGCAGATCAAAAGGAAATGGAGCAGTTGTTTGCTAAATGTGGTCAACCTAGCTATCTAGTCTAGACAATTTAAACCATTGAAACTGCTCATTTTTATATAACTTCCATAATTCTCTACTTGTCATGCAAGCTGATCATAATTTCTAATTTTTAGTTTTATTGAAAAATTTTCATTTGAAGATTGCTAGCAAAGCAAAACAGATTACATTTCTTCATTTATTGTTTCATGTAACTGCCATTTATTGAGTTTATACAATAAAATGTTGAAAAAGATATGATTTCTGCCCTAAAGGAGCTCATGTGTACAGACAACTGAAAATAATTGCTGCTGTACATAAAAAATGACATAAACTTTTCTGGGACTCATATTTTCTAAAGATGGTGTTCTTGTGCTTTTGGACAACTAATGTAACACACAGTGTTCTCTGCTTTCTTGGAAGAAGATAACTACAGATCTTAAGCTGACAATTCATAGATTCATAGCTTAGTGCTTGCTAATCAGATTCTTATTTTTATTATTATTATTCTTAATTTGGCAGCATTGAGCTGCAAATGACATCTTTCCACACTTGGACCCTGCTGTCCTGGTCTCCACCCTCACATAGTGTCCTGAGGGCAGACTCCTTTGCAGCTTGCCACAGCTGGCATAAGGATAAGACATTTATCCTTCCTTTCAGGACATAAGAGGAGTTTCGCGGTTACCATGGATGGTTATATCTTTCTACATTTTATTGCAGCTGCAGAGGAAGGTCTAATTTTCTGTGTATTGCCCTTTAATTGGCTTTCCTGAGCCTGTCAACACATTATCAGCTGCTGACTCTGTAGTAAGGTAGAAAAAAAAAATACACCATAAACCGACTCCATCTCCTTTGCAGAAGAGTAGCTGCAATCAGCAACTCAGATGCAGTAAAGAAACATTTGGCAAAAATTTCATTGTAATGTGAAAAAAGAGTTTGCTTAGGTTGAAAGTCAAATCTGCCCCTTGAGCATATGAAGAGTTTGAGCAGCTCTTATATTATGGCCTGAAATCTCAAGAATCCTCATCACTTATCACTCGTCCCCATTGTCCCCAACCATATTTCACTTACTTCATCAAACTCATATTTATTGAGTACATATCATGAGCTAAACACTGTTCTAGGCTCAGAGGATACAGTGGGGACAAAAACACACAAGTCCTTCCTGTCACGAGTCTTTAAATTGTATTACTCAGGCTTACTTCTAGTCTGATGTTTGCAACATACTTACGTGTAGAATTTTTAATTACAAAACCTGTATAAGGAGTCTTATTAAGGCTTGGCATAAATATATGAGGTTCAGGAGTTCATACTTTATCAAAAGTTGACATTTGTTTCAAACTCGTTCCTCAAAAATTACTCTGACCTATGTCCTCTTTTTCCCATGACACTTACCATCTTCTAGCCTATTACAGAATTTCATTTATTATATTTGCTGTGGGTTTCTTTCCCCATCCCCTCCCCAGCCCCTCCACTGGAATATGTACATTTCAGGAGGGCGGATATTGTTGTTTTGTTTACTGCTGTATCCCAAACACCAGAGACTGTTCCCTGACAAACATTAGGTATTTAGCAAATATTTGTTGAATGAATGTTTGTTGAATTAAAATTGTACAGAGACATCATCCTGTCGCATAAGAAGACATATTGATACATAGTATCCAACCAGGTAGCCAAAGTCCAGACTCTATTTTCTATTAATGGTTAATTGGTTAGTTAAGAAGGATTGTGTGTGTTTCATTCTTTGAAATCCCTCATTCCCCTGTTTTATATTTCTTATCAAAAGAAAGAGCTCATTTTTTGAACCTGAAAAGACAAAATGGTAATGAGGCAAGTGATAAGGGAAGGGTTCTGACTCACTAAGTGATATGTTCAGTTAAAGTACCATGATTGAAATCAGCTGAATGGTGGGGAAGGTTCTCTTTTACTAATCTTGAGGAACAGAATTCTGTCCCTCTGGATATAAAAGTGATACCCAGAAGCATTTAGTATTCTCCGCCCTGTGGTCTGTAGCTTATGAAAGCTGTTTTCCTGGCTTATGGTTATACCTGGAGTCTGACAAGTTCTGCCCCATCCCATTCCTCTTTCTGATTCTCCAGAGGGGATCAAGTGGGCCGAAATGGCTGATGGAAGAAAATTCCCCTCATGCAGTTCCGTTAGTCCTCTGGTCGAATTTTTATTTGTTTCTGTTTTTGTAAAAGAAAAAAAGCACCTTAGCTTATAGAAAACTTCAAAGTTGTATAAATGCAGAATGTGTAAAAAAGTAGACTTCTTTCTTTTTCTATTTCATCTTCTTTACATAACCTATGTGAAGGCTTTCCAAAGTCTGATTCAGTCATTGGAAAACCAAGCTCTTTAGATATCTTTGAATAGCTGGAAAATTAAGGCAAGTGTGAATCTTTTGGCATAGTTATCCCTTATTTATATCTTTTCGAGTAGCTATTTTCATTATCTCTAAATGCTTCATTATTATTATTATTATGTTTCAGAAGAATGTTAATTAATGTAGATGTTAAACTTGGCTCAAAAATTCCCAGAAGATCCTATTTATATTGTTATTTTAAAAGTTGTATCTTGATTTTTTAAAAGGTAAATTTGAAATTACTTTTTTTTCTATTCATGTCAACAAAATAAGAATAAAAAGATAGTTTACGATTATTAAGGGTGTCACAGAAAACTGACTTTTACAAGGAGTTGCAATTACATCTTAGAAGGCTTAGAAACTTAAAATCTAAAATAAGTGATGTGGGCGTGATATATTTAATATAATTTATCAACACAGGTTTGTTCGGGCTAAATTAATTTTTATTTTCTAACATAGTATCACAATGCATAAAAAGCTTTAGGATAATAATTGATTTACTATCATTTTTAATTGATTTACTATTATTGAATATAATATATGAATATTATATTCTATCTGATTTGAATATAATTCTATATATTCAATTGATTTACTATTATGAATTTAATTCTAATTGATTTACTATTATTTTTCCTCTTTATCTTAAATATCAACTTATTTATCTAAGGAACAATACTAGAGCTTCTGTTTATGATACAGTATATTAAAGCATTTTGGAAGTGTAAAGATGCTGAATACAAAATGTAGAAAAAAATATGTAAGAATTTTACAGGCCATCAATTAAGTGTATCCCCTTGCACTTATCTCCTAAAATTCCCCCATCATTCTTATTTCTCTGTTGTGTGGCAGTCCTCTTCCCATTTTAACTTTAAAACAAAATAACAGCAATAACAAACTGTGAGCTCGATATGTCTGCCACCTCTCATAACTGCAGCACGTTTTATATTGCCACACTTCAGATTTCTGCTCTATGCTACTTTCCATTCTTATTCATAAATTCCTTTCTTTGATTTCCATGCCTTTCTTAAAATACAAGGCCCTTTGGTCTTCTACCTCTGCCCAACTATCACCCTTTGGCTATTTTTTAGTCTTTACCCTAGTTGACTAGTCTCAGTTCTTCAACAGCGTTGATCATTTGCTCCTTTTTAGATCTCACTCCTCACTTCATCCCTGCACTTATCAGGCCCCGTTTCACCTTCCCTGCTAGCTCCATCCTTCTTTTTTTTTTTTTTTTTTAATTAATTTATTTAATTTATTTATTTTTGGCTGTGTTGGCTGTTCGCTGCTGCACGCGGGCTTTCTCTAGTTGTGGCGAGCAGGGGCTATTCTTCGTTGTGGTGCGTGGGCTTCTCATTGCGGTGGCTTCTCTTGTTGCGGAGCACAGGCTCTAGGTGCGCAGGCTTCAGTAGTTGTGGCTCGTGGGCTCAGTAATTGTGGCTCACAGGCTCTAGAGCGCAGGCTCGGTAGCTGTGGCGCACGGGCTTAGTTACTCTGCGGCATGTGGGATCTTCCCGGACCAGGGCTCGAACCCGTGTCCCCTGCATTGGCAGGTGGACTCTCAACCACTGTGCCACCAGGGAAGCCCCATCCTATCCTTCTTCTTGAACTTCTTCTGTTCGTCTAAATGATTTATGCTAATCTGGAACTCATTCCCAGAGTGAGCTCATCCACTTTAAGAGAGTTGTCTATCATCTCTTCACAGGTCATTCCTTAATTTATCTCTTGAGCTCCGTTCTTTCACAGACACTTCAGTCTCCTGTTTCTGACCTTAGGACATCTCCACTTTGCTGTGCCAGTCTTACCCAAACCAACCAGCCGAAAACCAAACGATTATTCCTAATGTCTTTCCCTGCAAGTTATTCTCTCCCTAATTTTGTCTATTTTGCCATCATTCTTCCAGTTTCTAAGCCTAGTATCCTTTACCTTCAGTTAATAAAAATATTAAGCCATTCAGCAGTACCCTGAAGCACTTCCTTCTTTGATACAAAGCGATTTACTGGGCCTCTGGGTCATATAACAATGAATGAAACCTTTT